ATTGGATACGCGCTTGCCCGCCGCAAACAAATTTCAGAAGATACCCATTGTTACGAAAGAAAAAGGAATACATCATCGATAACCACCGGATTGGGGACAGGAAGGAAGCATTGCCGGTGCCCACCCCGGCCCACGCATGATTTGGAGGCTGCTCGGAGTCTAGATCCGGCCTGCCGAGCCATGAGTGACGGGGGAAGGTGCGGGGCTATCGTCCACGGTCCGCCTACACTGGAAGCAATCCTTGATACGCGTTTTCTTGTTCCCTTTGTTGCCCAAAAGCCTTGCGCTTCGCTCTACGATCTCGTTAGCATATACCCTTTTTTGTATACCCAGTTTAGATTTTTATCTGTTACGCCCGAGCGATATAATACTACTAATACATCAACGATTTTTCTTCCCATACCGGCTTCATGGTGCTTCTCTCGTCTCGGGCTTTGTGAGTATTGCGCCGCGGGGTTATTGTCACCTCGACTATCGGGAATGATCACCCTCACTCCACTGTCATGCAGCGGTAGACCATTCCCGACCGTTGCACGCGGTAGATATATCTACATGGCTCCACTACGCGACGTGTCGGATTTTCTTCTCGGTTTATTCTCCGTTGTCATTACCTGGTCTCCCTTCGCTCCTTCACCTTTAGCATCGGCGTGCAGCTGACACTTACGCTCTCGTTACACACAACCCCACCCCAATCATATCCAGCATATCCCCTTTACCTGAATTACTTCACCATTATGGGGTCAATGGCAGACAAGAAAACCATGCGTGCGCAACAGTACGATGCGCGGGACAACAAGCTGCACCTCAACGAAATACCCATCCCGACACCGCGCGAACATGAGATTCTGGTCAAAATGGGCAGCGCATCCCTCTGCCACACTGATGCCATGCTCTTTGAGCCCAACGACCAAGGTCTGATTCTCGGCAAGAATCCCGTCACCATCGGCCACGAAGGAACCGGCAGAGTAGTATCAACCGGCTCGGGAGACCTAGCCCGAACGTTCAAAGAAGGCGACCCCATCGGCTTCCTCTGCGCAGTAGATTGCTGCTTCGAGTGCCACGCCTGCAAAAACGTCCACAACGCATGGTGCGCAACAGGCGAGACCAAGATCCAAGGGTTCAGCGCCGACGGCTATTTCGCCGAATACGCAGTCGTAGATGCTAGGGAAGCCATCATTTTACCCGAAAACCGTCAGTCAATTTGATTTAGAACCAGAAAACTGGTGGGCAAATACTGACCTTACCATCACAGTGGACCCCAAGACCTCAGCCCCTCTCTTCTGCGCAGGCGTAACAGCCTACCACGGCATCGCAGACTGCCAACTCCCGCCTGGCTCCTGGCTCGCCGTAATCGGATGCGGCGGCCTAGGCCACATGGGCATCCAATACGCGAAAGCCATGGGCTACAACGTCATCGCCATCGATATCACTGATGACGCGATAGAAGAAGCGCGTGTCTGCGGCGCGGACTACACGTTCAACTCCATGGCCGACAAGGACTGGAAGAAGAAGATTGTAGAGCTTACAAAAGGCGGTGTACATGCAGCTGTTAACTTTACGGCGAGCAAGAAGTCGTACGACGACTGTCCGGCGATTGTCAAGGCGGGGCAGGGAATTATTATGGTGGTGGGAATTCCGCAGCAGCCGCTGGAGTTCAATGGGTTGGATATTGCGTTGGGGAGGTATCAGGTTAAGGGATCGAGTAATGGGAGTGAGTACAAGTTTTTCTTTTGTTCTAAATGGAAGGAGTGGAGATGCTAATTAGCGTGCAGCTTGCTACAACATGAGGGAGGCAGTGGAGTTCTCGGCGAAGCATAAGATTACGCCGCATATGACGACATTTAAGCTGGAGGAGGTGCCGAAGATGGTGGAATTGATGAATGCGCACAAGGCGAAGGGACGGATGGGTGTGGTGTTTGACTAAGAGGATGTTGGACGTGTGAGTGTAAGGCTCAGATTTCACCAAGTTACAAGCTTGCTCATCCAAGCTCATCAAAATACACTCATGGCGGTTCGGGACCGGTCTTTGAATACTCCGACCCCACACTTTCGACTACAAAGTCTCCTGCTACGGCACCTCTCTCCTTTCCTCAACTACACACTTCCTTCTCAAAGATCCCCCCAAAAAAACTGGGACGAGCTCATGATTCTCGTTCTTCTCTTCTTCATCAATTCAAACATACAAGGCAATCTTCGATGTCTACTTCAAAGCAGCACACAAAGATGCGGTGTTCCTGATTCCAGATTCCAGATTCCAGATTCCAGATTCCAGCAATTACATGTCGCTTTTGCAGCATTCAAGAATGTGGTAGCTACGATCAAAAATGGACGTAAGGGAAAGCCATGTGCTGTTCTGCTTCGGTATGCGAGCTTTATAGGGCCGTATCGACCGACTGGCTTTTCAAATGGACTTCAGCACGACTCAAGATTGCAACCCATGTTCATGATGGTTGCGTGAGAAAATACAAGTTCACAGCGTCCTCAAAAAGACAAATAAACCATAGCATGGAAAATTTGGTCCTGATCATATGCGCGCATACAAGCTTTGAGTTCACGTCATCAAAAGATAAGGATGCTTCCGACATGCCTGATCTATTTTCCGCCCCGTATCCACCAAGATGGACTATAAAACAGCCTCCAGTCTGGTTCATCTACTTGTCGTCTGCAACAACAGTTACTAGAAGAACTTTCAAAAAACAGCGCATGACTGGAGTACGTGGCTAGTTCTACTTTTCTTCTCAAAAGACGACCAGGATTTCGGAATGGACCAAGAAAGAGGTGGCGCAACTCAAAAATCTCTCCATATTTTTGGTTTAGAATTCTTACTATCAATTCTCGTATATCATTCTGAAAATACAAGCTGGGCGTGTCATGGAGAGATCTTCCTTGCGGCAATAAGAACATCGGATACTACTGCATGCCTCCGAAAGATTGGTTCCGGGATCACATGAGACCCTCGCTGTGACAGTACACAAAAGACGGTCACAGCTATAACATGAGAGTTGTGACTCAGAGCCATGGTATCACCCATGTTTGGTCTTAGCCAGAACTCAGTGCACGAGCTTGGCAAGAAGTACTTGAATACTTCTCTCCTTGAGTCCTCTCTTTGCTTGTCATTCTACACAACTTTCCATACTTATCTGGAACCCCAACAGAGAAAACCATGTGCTCCTGTCCTCTCCTTCTTCTTCTCCAAAACTGTTGCCGCTCAGACAAATGAACCGATCCAGAAACGAACCAAAACACATCACAGACATCGATGCGCTCCCTTTGGTATCATCCGCCCACAGCTCTCTTCTTCAAAGAAGTGAAAATCTACCTTGTATTGAAAGAGCACTTCGAACAAAATACAGAGTGGCTATATACATGTTTCTGAGTGTGAAGATTGAAAATTTTCAGCGTACACATCATGGGGTTGTGACCTTCTTTGGCCGGTCTGGAAACTGGGAACAGCTAAACATAAATACTCACCCTCTTCGGCTATTCTCTTTGCGTGGTTCTATACACTTTCTAAATAATTACCAAAGATTAAGTACTCGCACTTGATGAGTTTATATCTTGCAGACAAGTATAAAAGGAGAAATCCAAAATCGACATTCTCCACCACATGGGGATTTTGCTGGGTCGATCCTGAATCATGTCATCAAAATCGTGCAGCAACCCGCAAATGCGCAGACTGCATGGAGCAGACTATATAAGCACCCCTCCAGCCTTCTCTGACACTCCATCACAGTTTCTTTTTCTTTGTTCCAAAAGACACACTGCCCGCCTGCATATGCTGGGCCCTCTTCTCTTTCCAAAACTTACCACGTACGTTTGCATGGCTCTGGCTGCAAAACTCATCATGAGGCATTTCCATGAACCAAGATCCCTTCCTTCTAAAACTAGTATCTGTCCGCTTGATGATCCAGCCTCGCGGTTCCCAGGTTACTCAACTTCCATCCACCATTTTCTCCAAAATAACCAACAACAACCCGCATGTCTCCTGCAGAAGAAAACGCACTTCATCCACCAGCGAGAACTTTCCCGGCCCGAAAGTTCCGCAGCTGTGTCTTATGTCCCCCCTCGAGGAGTTCCATCTACATATAAAACTTCTTCCCTCTGCCGGTCTTCTTCCCTTCTATACCACCTTCTGATTCTTTCTTCTCCAAAAATTGTGAAGCAAAACTACATGGAGTCCGCCTCCTCTTTCTCCTCTGGAGAATCCCAAAAATCTCGGAAACACTGGCCCATGTTTCGGCCAGAGAACCACAGCTGCCCAGTACATGTTTGTCGGTCTCGATCCGAATACTTGAAGCAACATGTGGCGTTTCCTCTGCGCGAGGGAAATACTATAAACCCACGATGGACCTGGAATGACTCTACGTCCCTCAATTTAATACTGCTTTTGCATAAAACCAAAAGGCCTTCTTGATTTGGGTATGGGTGTGCTGCTCTGAGGAGCAAACCACGAACAGCGGTTCACTGCTTCTTCACTACACCAAAACGACTACGTTTCGCAATATCAAAAGCTGCAGGCGGGTCGAACATGACTGTGATTGCCTGGCTGGTGTTTCAAAAAAACCAAAGGATATTGCGCTCGGATGCTGGAGTCAAAAGATACCGGGAGTCTGTCATGCGTCCTGCTGAAAGTCCCGCATTACCATACTATGGGGACGACATTCGGGAACGGTTCCTTGATATACCTGAAAGCTCACCGAGTGATGTTCATGTGCGGTGGGCTTGAGATGTGTTCCGATAGCAGTCCATAGATTGAGCGATACCCCCAAACGGGCGTTATGGAGACAATGTGCCCGGATATCATGATGGTAGTGATGATGATTTTGATCATTATTCTTGTTTTGTCATTGATGTTGCTCTTCATCATAAGGCTATAGCCAAGCACATGGTCTGCAACCAGCACACTCCAGCCTCCCGCCTACTCCACGTGTCTTGATGCATATCGTACACCGTCCCATCTGATTCTTCCTCTGCTCCACTAGCCTCACTGTTCCTCCTTCCTAAACAATAGTCTCCAACTCCCTCGCATACCCCAGCGTATTCTCAATAACCTGATCGCTCGTAACCAGAATATCCCTGTTCAGATACTCGTCCTCCTGCTGGGGGAAGTATATCCTGCCGTCCTTGACAACCCAACCGCTCTCCTTCGCAAAGTTGACAACGCTGCCTTCCGAGTCGAGGAAGAGGAGGGATTTAGCGTCCGAGATGGGGATGGAAGGGTATGCGCGCTCGGAGCAGGAAGCGATTTCCTTGCGGATGGTTCCGATGAGGATCTAAGACGTGTTAGCAAGTAATCCAGTTGAATGTGCAAAGCAAACTATGTGTTTAGTAGTGGTGATGGCAGTGACATACCTCAGTAAACAGCGCAAACTCCTCGCCAGGCACCCTCTCGCTCTTCGTCTCGACCCACACCTTATCGTAGCTCCCCTCCATAAGCGCCTGCTCTAGACGAATCGGATACTGAATAAAGGGATCAGCCTCCAGCTTTGCGCTCGCCTGGGCGGCCGCCACCTCGAGCGTCTCGAGCAGCGTGTGGAACCCCGCGTAATCGCCCTCGCTCAGCAGCAGCAACAGGTATAGTCCCGTGACCTTGCTCGATTGGCTGCCGTCTTTGGGTAGTGTGGACTCGGGCAAAGAGTAGAAGGGCTGCAGCTGCTGGAAGTAGCGGGTGAAGGACTCGGTGTCTTTGAGCCGGATGGAGATGATGGCGCCGAGTTCGAGCGTCTCACGCGCGAGCTGCAGATGTTTCCGTGGGGATTTCTCTTGTGGGATCAGGGCGTTGAGGTTGAGGAGGGCGATCTTGGCTTTGCTCAGTAATGAGGTTGATTGCTGGTAGTTGTGCGACTTGAGCGTCTGGTGGAGCTGCTGGAGCACGCTGGAGAGTTCCTTTTCAGCCATGGTGTGCGGTGTCTCGCTTTTGGTGGTTGTCGTAGATGATGGGGAGGGTGAGCGCGGGGATTGAGCGGGTTGATGGCGTGGTTGGGTTGGGGTGTTTGTTGCGGCGAGTGGAAGCTTCGGTGGTTTACGTCGGGGGACCGTCGGCGTCGGAGGTGCTGGCCTTAGCGTGGGAAGCGTGCTCACCGACCGCCACGGCGCGTCATACCCTTCAAACGTACGATAGCGAATGTATGCCATCTTTCACTTGTTGTCAAACGCGCTGAACATATTCATGAGGGCCAAAAGTACGGTTTGAACACTTTTCAAGTTACAAGCCTGACATCCCACGCGTGCCAGGCACCAACACATCCAGATGACCTAACCGGTCACATTGTCCCAGCGTGGGAATATCTCTATTGGCAACTGGTATGCTTTGGTATTGGTCTACTTCTGTTTGCGATACTGCAGCTGACATGCCTTCTCGAACGTATTCAGAGTCTGCCTTGCATGACCGATTGGGTAGTCAGCACGCCACGCCTTACCTTGTGTTACCGTAGAGATTACTCTTGTGAAAATCTTCTACCCAGAGTACCGTATCGGGCCATGTAGACATGTCCATGGCCTGACCGGTTCGTAGTTCCAACACATCTCACCGCCGTCAGACGGAATATTGTCAAATCATGTTCCTTCTGCTTATCTTCTTCTCCCAAACTTTCCCTTTCCACCTCCACCAGTCGCTGCCTTGCCCTTGATGTTGAGTCTCCGATAGTTGGCATTTGCCGTAGCCTTGATCTTTCGGGCCGCTGTCTTTAGCACGCCTTCCTTGACCGGCTTCTCCTTTGCTTGCTCTGGTTTCTTTGCTGGCACTTGCCGTCTCCTCGGGGTATGTGAAGCGTCACTCGCGTAGTCAGAGTCCCCATCCAAGTCTGAACCAAACTCGTCTGCCAAATCTGCTGGTATCTGAGTTTCGGGAACTCCTGCTTGCTCCACGTCTAACTCGTCGTGTGTCTCTACGGCTGGTATTGGTTTGGGCTTTACAATGTTTGGACGCACTGAGAATTTGTTAGTCATGTAGCTCAGTCGATGGAAACATCACATCTTACTTATCACTCGCCGTGTCTGTCTCTTCAAGCCCTTCTTCTTCCAAGCCTTCCGTGGCTTGCCGTCACGGCCAAGTTCTGGCTCTTCCTCGCTGTCTTCATCAGACTCAAGACCTCGATCTGGACCTAGGGGCATTGCCGCCTGGCTGTCTTCGATCAAGATCTTCGGCGCTCTAGACTTCTTGGGTACAGTGATGCCTTCTTCCTCCATTTCCAACTCGCGCATTATGTCCGCCTCCTCGTCAAGTTGGTCCTCTTCATCTTTCCTCATAGCTTGTATCATGGAACTCAAACTTCGCCCAAGGCCGCGACGCATCCAGGGCGCAGGTCGTGATATGGGCTCCTCCACCTCGTCGATAGCGCTCAAGACATCGTCTCTCTTCAGGAACGCAGGTGTCGCTAGGCCTCTGGTTGTAGATGACGGTGTACCCTGCTCGTCTAACCTCCTCTTTTTCGGTGTGACAAATTGATTCAGGAGGAATCGCTTCCCGGCCGATAGTGGTGTCCGCTCCCCTCGTGCTCTTGACTCTAGCGACGTCTCGCTTGCTGCATCTTGTAGTCTTCTACTCGGTGTTTGTGGTACATTCAATCCTACATCTCCTAGTACAGTCCTCTGTTTGCTCGGGGTTCCTTGCGCGAACGGGAGCTGGTCGAAGAGACCTAGCACTATGCCATCGCGCTGAGGCGTGGGTCCTATGACGGTAGGTCCTTGCGGGGAGAGCAGCTCGGATGCGTAATCTACGTTTTCTAGTGTGTCTTCATCCTCTCTTTTCCTTTTCATCGGCGTGGAAACATTGGGTTTGGGCGCGACTTTAGGAGTACGTTCGACGTCGAGGCTCGCTTTTCGGCTGGGGGCGCGCTTTGAGGGGGTCTGCGGCGCGGCTTTGCTGGATAATCGTACTCGTAGTTTGTTGTACTCCTTGTACATTTGTGCTGCACATGTTCAGCATTACATCAGCAGTACCGGCGGCGTTCTATACGTACAGATCTCGGCATTGGCCTTGATATCATCGCGTCCCACCTTTCGGCCATTGTTTTCGGCGGCAAACTTCTTTTCCCAGACCTTCAGTTCCTGTCGTAGCACATTGCAGCGCTGTTCAATCTCGTCGTTACTCATGTTGTCTTGTGTGGGGTAGGAATGCGTGAAAGCGGAAACGCGAGCGTAATTGATTTCCGCATCTCAAATCGCGGTACGCGTTACGTGCACGCGACAAAACGCCACTAGCAGGGATGTCTCAGCCTTGCCGGCTCCACCCGCGGGCATCACATGCACATCAATCCCGAAAACTCAATTGGCAAGCATGACGCATCAGATATATTCTACAAAATACTATTCACAACTCCCTGCCCGCGCGCTTGAGAGCTCGAACATCATGTCGCTGATGCAGAAAGGGAAAGCCGGACCAAAAAAGGGGAATCTAGTAGTGAACAGCCTTGTCGTAGGTGGCCATGGCAGCCTCCTTGAACGCCTCAGCGAGGGTGGGGTGAGCGTGACATGTGCGGGCAACATCTGCTGATCGTTAGTTTTGTTCTGCGAAGTTAGATAATAAATTTGGACTCACCCTCTGAGCTAGCACCGTATTCGAGAGCAAGAGTGCCCTCTGCAATCATCTCACCGGCGTTGGCACCAATGATATGGATACCCAATATCCGATCAGTCTGAGCATCTGCCAGGAACTTGACCATTCCCTCAGAGTCGAGGTTGGTCTTGGCTCTTGAGTTGGCGGAGAAGGGGAAGGTTCCGTTCTTGTACTTGATACCGGCCTCCTTGAGCTCCTGCTCGTTCTGACCAACCCAAGCGACCTCGGGGTGAGTGTACATGACCGAAGGAATAGCGCCGTAGTTGACGTGGCCGTGGCCCTTGTGGATGTATTCGATGGCAGCGACAGCCTCCTCCTCAGCCTTGTGGGCAAGCATAGGTCCGAATGTGCAGTCTCCGATAGCGCGGATGTGGGGAATCTTGGTGCGGTACTCCTGGTCAATGATCAAGCGGCCCCTGTCGTCAGTCTCGAGGTTGATGTTGTCCAGACCAAGACCGGAGGTGTATGGGCGGCGACCGATGGCAACGAGAACGACGTCGCAGTCGATCTGTAATGGTTAGCATTCCTTCTAAACACAAATGTGTGCGCTGGACATACGGTCTCCTCCTTGCCACCCTTGGCGGCTTCAACGCTGACGTTGACGCCAGCGTCGTGAACCTCACCAGCGGTAACCTTGGTGTTCAGCTTGAACTTGAGACCCTGCTTTTGGAGAATCTTCTGTGTCTGCTTGGCGATTTCGTTATCCATACCAGGGCCACCAATTTGACCCAGGAACTCGACAACGGTAACCTCGGCGCCGAGACGCGACCATACGGAAGCCTACAAATCGTTAGAGAAGCCATGCAAATCAACTGATTTTCCCTACCATCTCAAGTCCGATGATACCACCCCCAATAACAGTCATCTTCTTTGGCACTTCCTGGAGCGCAATAGCGCCAGTGCTAGTAATGACCTTCTGCTCGTCAATGGTCAAGCCAGGGAAGGGTGTAGCCTCGGAACCAGTGGCGATGAGGATGTTCTTGCCGCGGACGGTGGTCTCGCCACCCTCAGTCAGGTTGACAGCGACGGTGTGCTCGTCCTGGAACGCGCCAGTGCCCTTGATGTATTCGACGTTGTTCTTCTTGAAAAGGAACTCGATTCCCTTGGTAAGACCGGAGACGGAGGTGTCCTTCGCCTTCATCATGGCGGGGAGGTTGAGCTTGACATCGCCGACGTCGATACCACGGCCCTTTGTGTCGTGGAGAATCTGGTGGTAGAGATGCGAGTTGTTGAGGAGCGATTTTGAGGGAATGCAGCCGACGTTCAAGCAGGTTCCACCGAGAGAGCCACGCTTCTCGATACAGGTGACCTATTGCTGTGTGAGCTTTTCGCACTGCGAAATGTCCATGACTGTCGTCGCTAACCTTCATGCCCGCCTGTCCTGCCTTGATGGCTGCGACATAGCCTGCGACACCACCACCGATGATGACCAGGTCCTTGTCCTCTATCCAGCAATCAGCACAACCCCGCCTAACGCCTCGCAGCAATGCGACTTACCAGCTTCCGACGCATAGCCTCGTCGTAACCGGTTCTGGAAGTAGATATTGGATGCGCAAAATGTCTTTTGGGAGACGGGCCGCGTCGCCCTCTGAATGGCGCGGGGTGCCAGTGAGCGGAACATGGTGGAGACTACCGAAGAATCGCTACCAAGAGAAGCCGTGAAGTGTACGGCGGGGATGACAGGCGTCAATGGATGGGGCGTGGGATGGGAGATGTGGTTGAGCTTTTTGCGGAGCTCGGCCGGGAAGGTCTATGCGGCTTCCGTAGGGTCAAGGGTGGCGCCAAGCTGACAAAGTGCCTCACATCTACTCCGTAACATCTTCGTCTCAGTGTCCCGGCAACCGGTATCGCATTACTCTACATGGAAAATAAAGGGTATTCTAGCTATATGTAACGGCAGTGACTCAACCCTTCCTATTTTCAATCCTCCGTCAACGTTGTGGTGGCCAATACTCTCGTCAACATGTCTATTATTGACTTGCAAGCCCATCGAACAGTCTCTTTTTCATGCTTCTCGACGATCTCTGTCTTGCTGATAACCTTCTTGAGGAAGAACTGCAGCCCAGCGATCATCTCAGGAGCCTGATCCACCTCCACGAATACTTCGCGCACTGCCCGCTCGTCTCGCTTATCTTTCGATTTGGATGCCTTGAACGACTCCAGAATCGTGGTGACTAGCAAGACTTCGATGAAGGTCTTGGTTTTTGGCTGCAAGTAAGGGAAGTTGAGGTTCTTGAGGCTGGTGATGGGTAGAGCTTTTCGGCCGATCAATGTGCCGTACAGTTTGCCTTGATTGACCAGTTTTCGGAGAGAGGTGTCGCCACCCGCATCGTTATCGTCATCATCCGAGTCATCTGCACCATCTTGCTTCTCTCCTAGGCTCTTGAAGATGTCCCATAGTGCAAACTGAAAGCTCTTTCGTGTCTTGTGATCTGAACAGACCTTCCGGGCAAGGACTGTGTAGTATGGGTTGTATGTCTTTTCGGCGCCTGCGCAATGAACAATGACTCGTGGTATTTCTGCTTCTTGAGATCTCTTGAGGTTGAGCTTATTCAGTCGTATCTGGGCGTCTTTGAAATCGCTGGCAGACATGATAGAGACGAAGATGGCGCGCCGAATATCAGTGTTCATGCGGTGTTCGCGGGCAAGTTGCACAAGATCGACTTCGCTGTCGTCGTCCTCAATGTCGATGGTTTTTGAAGTCTTGCCAGATTGTTTTGACTCCTCGGGCTTCTCCTCGTTGCCAGGTTCATTTCGCCAACTCGCTCCCACCAGCCACCACTTGCCTCTTTTATCCGTGTCTTTGATGTCCTTAAGACCAACGCGTAGCGGCTCGGTTGCTCTGAGGTTCCTTGAATTCAGAGTACCCAATTGCTTCTTCATCCGTATCGTATGCTCTCTTGAAAGTGCAGAATTGGCTATGCCTGTCTTCATCTTATTGTTCTTGAGGTCATTGATCGTCTCGATCATGAACTTTGTTCGGACGGGGAGGTTGTTCTGGCCAACCTTGGCCACAGACTTTTGCAGCAAGACGACAATATCTTTGAGTGAAGTTGGATCATCTTGTCGCAGTTGCGGGCCCGATGCCCTGACTACTCTCAGTAGGAGTTCGGTATTGATCTCCGTAAGTTCGTCGAGGAAGAATCGAATATAGTCAAAGACGATGTTGCTGCCAATGACCTGGTACGTGTACAGCTCCGCGACCACAGATATCAGGTTTGCTGTCTGCTTTCCATTGCCGTCTTTGTTCGGTTGGTAGTGTTGGTCGAATTCTGCGACAATGCGCTCCACTATTTGCGCACCAAAATCGGGTCCGATGACTTTATACACAGCAGCGATAAAGCCAGCGTGCAAGTTCAGAAAGGTATCGAGGAGAGCTGTGGGATCTGACAACATGCCAACGAGCAGGTCAACAAGCGTGTTATTGACGTAGCCTCGGGGGTTGTTCTGGTAGATATTCTCAATCTCCTTCAGGATAGACAATATGTTGGCTTCCGAGAGCCTGTTGAAGAGACCCTGAATTTGTCTTTTGAGACGCAGCAAAGCCTCCGTGTCTGAAGTAGGGGCTGCTCTCAGCGCAGGTGGTATGTACTTGGTCGGTTGAGCGTTCGCCGCTACGGGGGCGATGTAGGGGTTTTCTCGTATGCGTGGTTTTTCTGGTTCCGCATCTTCTATGTCGTCCTCATCAGAGCCCAGGTCGTCCTCCGAACCATCCTCAGTCTGGTCATCTTCGTCGAGGCCTGTCTCTTCCAGGTCCAGGTCCATGTCGTCCTCGTCAAATGCGGAACCTTCTGAATCGCTGTCCTCTTCCTCGCTCGACTCCTGACCCAAGGCCTTCCGCCTCTTGCTTGCAAGCCAATCGTCGTCCTCTTTCCTTTTCCTCTTTGTAGGTTGTGCATCCTCTTCGTCGCTGAAATCTCCAAGGTCGCCGAAAATGTCGTCCAGACCATCATCTGCTCCCTTGGATCTCTTTTTGCTCTTCACGCCTAGCCTCTTCTCCAACTTGGCAATCTCAGCGTCGTCTTGCGCCAACTTTTCCTGAGCAGCGCGCGATAGTTTGGGAGGCGGAGGCGACGCTTCCTTGGGTTGTGATGGTTTCGCTTTGAGGATACCCTTCAACGGTTTAGGCGACTCCTTCGCGGCTATTGGGGGTGGTGTGGCGTCGGATTCGATGTCATCCCAGTCTATTTCCTCTTCCTCGTCCTCATCGTCCGACTCGGGTTCACGACGTGGTCCCCGGCCATTGTGTGGGTGCACCGGTGCTGGCCGTCTGACCTGCTTGTTCTGGCGCTTCTTCTCTACGCGATCGGCCTTGCGTTTGTCCTTGCGATTCGGTGGCCCGTTGCGCGGTCCATTTCGTCGCTTGTTGTTCGCCGGGTCTATTGATGTTAGCACCCGAACATTACTAGAGTTAGTTGAACATATTACCGAACTGGTTTCTTAATTCCACGGGCAATTTGGGCCCTCCGAAAGCTGTGCGCATGTTGAGATGGTCGAGACGGTACGGTCGCAAAAAAGTTCGAGAAGTCGGAGTTTGGGTGAGAGAATCCCCGCGTCTCCGCTCCACACGGACGGCCGCGGGCATCCCACTATGCAACCAACCACTACATGGCGCGCGCACGATAGCACACGACTTTCACCATGGCGCGAGATCATCTAACCAACGATGAGGTACGGGATGTCAATTATTAAAGCGCCTATTCATGGCTGATCTCTGCAGTTCTTCACACGGCTCGCCAATCTTTTCGAGTACACGCGCACCAAAGGCCACGGCAGCGTCTACCTAGTCCAGAAGCGCATGACATTCGGTACCTCTGCTACACCTCCTCCAGCCAGCAAGATCGCCGACGATCCATTATGGGACATACACCCTGAAGAGCCCTTACCTGTCCTAATTCGCGCACACAACAACGGGAGTGACAAGAAGGCAGGCACAGACCGAGAGGACATCCCCAAGATAATATTGAGCACGGTGGTGAAGCCAGACGACTTGGACGCCTTCTATGCAAAGTATGCCGAGGCATGTAAGACAGGCATGAGCGGGCTGAAGAAGCGAGACAAGAAGAAGGCGAAGAAGACTAAGAAAAAGAAGAAGGGCGAGACCAAAGTATGAGGAACATCGGATACTACGAATGCATGAGACGCACAAGAAACACGTCGTTATCATAAAGCACCGATCGATTGATCTTGAGGGGTCACGCGGGTAGCACTAGAGTATGCCGCTGGAGGAGAAGTAGAAGGCACAACAATGACTTGGACGACGAAATCCTGTAAAACGCGGCACCAATGCACGGAGACTCAATAGAGTGCGGTGCACCAGAAGATACCACTAAATCACATCTATACATTACAGTCCCCACTGTTGTCCCTACAATGTCTCCGCCGTCTTCTTGAACATCTTTGTACTCACAGGCAGTGGTTGGCCCATCCATGTCGCTCTTTGCGTGTGGTCTCTCAACTCATCGTCGGTGTTTGGGTGAATCAGCGCAGACAATGGCCCTCTGTTGATCACGAGCCAGGGAATGAAAGCACCGAATTGCTCTACTAAATCGTCAGCATAGGCATACAGATGGGTTCTCTCCATACGTACCGGGTGTGAAGATGTTGACTTCAAACATGGCCAGAGGATGAGGACCAATGGGTCGATCCCATACTCGGTAAATGCGCAACTCGGGGACTTCGTACTGTATCAGCAATCATGCAAGTCGTGTGTATGAATGTTGTACCTACATTCGCGGCGTATCCGTTCCCACAGCTCGTTGGCGAACTTGACCTCCTCTTCATCAGACTGGAGGAAGTAAATGTGAACGCTAGTTGTTGTCAGATACATGAACGACTGCATCCCAAACCTAGCACTTACTCGAACCCTCCTCGAATTCCATTGGTTATAGGAGCTACAAAGGACTTGTATGCTTCGCTCTTCTTCTCGGCTGGTGGGTTTACGTAGGATTTCCCGTCCTCAGCCCTTTCACTGTACAGTGTTAGCACAGTCTCATCTAGATACATGATGGCAATCGAGCTGTGTAACGGACATATTCAAAGGGGAACGTACTCGGGTAATGGCTCGAGGCCTTCGTAGCCTTTCAGAGGAGACGCATACGTGTAGAGATTTGGATCGGCCATCGTTCAAACTGAATGCTATGTTGATTTTCAGGTGCACTTCTCTTGTTGTATTGCGCAACTTCTATAAATGACCAAACAATCAACAATACGCAGCGGAGGTCTTCCGTTTGTCAGCGCGGAATTACAGCGGCCTTGGTTTGCAATACCCCAATGCAGTCAGTCAGCTCATGTACCAAGGTACAGATACACTCATACATCTGGCTTTCACCACTTACGTCAAATCGCTCAATCATGTGAGCCTAAGTGTCAAGTCCAGAGTGTGGTGTAAGAGATGAGTGAGCTGCCAAGTCACACCGAAGCATTACGTTCAATCTGGGCAACAAGCAATAGTTAGGAACCCTTCGTAAGCCGACGGGGAAAACGAATCTAGCATATAGCTCACTATCAACATGAGACGCATTGATATGACTCTTCACCGACAGATAAGGAGGCGGCGCAGGAACTATAAGTCCTTATCGATACATGTCGCGCTTCACATAGGCGTGCACGGAGCCTTGGAGGGGTGAGTCAAGCACCCCGCGGCCACCCAATATATTTCGGAGCGCAACAACGACCCATTGAACACCACACGATACCCCAATCTCGCAACCATGGCCGAAGCCACCTACTATATCGACGAAGACGTCGGTCACGACACCCCAGAACAAACTGGCGACGAATCGCTGCCCTACAAATCACTCGGATACGCTGTCCTCACCCGCGGCGAGACAGCCAAGTTCCTCACCCGCAAGAGCGTCACTGGCGAGATTGCAGAAGGCGCCGACGCGACATCGAGGTTAGAATGGAAGGATGCCGCCAAGTCGGCCATGAAGAAGGCCGTCAACTACGCCAAGACGCAGAAGAAGAAGCAGGAGAAGGACCAACAATTGCTTGCGCAGCGCATGAAGGAGGAGCACGATCGCAACAAGGTGCTGGATGAGGCTAAGAAGATTGTTATAGAAGAGGACAAGAGCCTGCCAGCGCCCATCAAGATCAAGCTCGACGACACCGACTCGAAGAAGATTACACTGGGAGATGGCAAGGACACAAAGGGCACACGTGTACGTGTCTTTGGTCGGGTACATCGTGAGCGGAGACAAAAGGATGTCATGTTCGTTACTTTAAGAGATGGCTACGGTCAGATGCAAGTCATCTTCACCGGAAACCTTGCAAAGACCTACGACGCCCTTACCTTGACCCGCGAGACCAGCATGGAGATTTTCGGAGAGCTGCGAAAGATCCCAGAGGGCGCACACGCACCCAACAACCGCGAACTGCACGTCGACTACTACAAGATCCACGATGGATGGAAGGCGGCGGGTGGTGATGATGCCATTACCAACAGAGTATCAAAGGACACTGAGCACGCGACACTACTTGACCTGCGACATCTCACTCTCCGCGGAGAGACAGCCTCTAAGGTTATGATTGTCCGTGATGCCGTCGAGTTTGCCTTCAACCAGGTGTACAAGGAAATGCGATTACGCAAGGTCAGCCCGCCAGCGCTCGTCCAGACGCAGGTCGAAGGCGGTGCCACGCTCTTCAAATTCGGCTACTACAACGAAGAAGCCTACCTCACCCAGTCATCCCAACTCTATCTCGAGACCTGCCTTCCATCCATGGGCGACGTCTACTGTATCGAGAAGTCTTTCCGCGCAGAGAAGTCACTCACCCGCCGCCATCTAGCAGAGTACACGCACGTCGAAGCCGAACTCGACTACATCAACTTCGACGACCTTCTCAACCACCTGGAAGAAGTCATGTGCCGCGTCCTTGAAGTCACAATGGCCGATCCCGTCGTCAAGCAATATATCATGGACCTCAACCCGGAGTTCCAACTCCCCGAGCGACCATTCAAGCGCATGAAGTACCAGGACGCCATTGACTGGCTCGTCGAGCACGAGATCCCCAATGAAGACGGCGAGCCGCACAAGTTCGGTGACGATATTGCTGAGGCTGCTGAGCGTCGCATGACGGATATCATCAACAGGCCTATCTTCTTGACCCATTTCCCCACAGAGATCAAGGCTTTCTACATGCTCAAGGACAAGGACGACGCGCGGGTCACCGAGAGCGTCGACTGCCTGATGCCGGGTGTTGGTGAGATTGTCGGAGGCAGCATGAGGATGGATAACTACGATGAGTTAATGGGTGCGTTTGCACGTGAGGGTATCGATCCTGCGGCGTACTACTGGTACACCGACCAGAGGAAGTAAGTCCACCCCTCCCATCAACACACCTGTGCACTAGTTCAGGATTTTCTAACACAACCCTTTAGATACGGTTCCTCCCCCCACGGCGGCTACGGCCTCGGTCTCGAGCGTTTCCTCGCCTGGCTCTGCAAGCAGCACACCGTCCGCGACTGCTGCCTGTACCCCCGCTATTTCGGCCGCTGCAAGCCTTGAGAAAAGAACCCGACGTCCCCTTCCACGCATCTTTGCCCCGAAGCTCTCGTCCTGCGGAACGAGATGGAGTATGAGTTGAATTGATTCATGTGACGTGGCCCCACGATAGCCAGGCTACCGCTTTTGCCAGCACACATGGCCTCTATTGTCTTGTCTTGTCGCATTAGGCTGAGACGAATGGGACCGAAGCGTTAGATGAAATCATATCCAATCAACATGTTTCCATGCGCCCCGCCTTGTTTATGTTTTGTTTTCCCGGTCAAAGACTGTGTTGCAGCCTCATTGATGTATACACACGAAGCGGGGTCGATAGGCCATCAGCAGTTGCGCTGGGTCTTGGTTCGTTGCTTATCGTGGAACTGTGTGCAACGCGTCTGACATGGTGAACCCGGTGAACCCCCCAGTCGACCCGCAAACTCTCCTGCTCATCTATATCGACTCTCACGTAAGGGAGCTGCAACTTCACATTTCACATGAGCTTCATTTGCATATGTGCACAAGAGACGTCATAGACACAGCATCCACCCAGTTCGTAGACCGACTAAAACTACATGTCTTCCTAAGATACCGCATCCAGATACCCTCCCTCCCGTTTCGAAACCAGTATACAAGCTTCGCAAGTATACTAGTTAACGTGAAACTGGTCGAACTCGCAAAAATCGGGGGAGAGGAAAGAAAGTTTACACTTTGTCCCACGCGTTCAGCTTACCTCCCCCAGAAGAACGCCGAAGATAAGGACGACAAAACAAAAAAGCTCCTCACCAAGAAGCTGAGAATTGTACAAAAGTACCCCGTGTAAAACTCCTCGCTATGCAGTTGTGTGGTACAGCGAAATGAAAGTGTCCCTGGCAAAAGCGCGCAAGGACTTGGCAGTAGATAGCTGTTGGTACCGGCAAACAAAGACGTATGGGTGGGGGGGAAAGAGCGAGCGCCGAATTCGCGCATCGTGTGCATAACAGGTGATCCGCCGGAACAAGGTACGGGGAATGGGGCAGAGAGAGCTTTTTTTCAAAAAAGAGACAAAAATCGTTGACGTGTCGGTCAAGGACCGTGCCGCGCGTCCGTTAGCGAACAAGTGTCATGTTCGAGTACGGAAGTTGAGCGCGTTGGCTGAGCTGACGGCTGAGCATTCCCAACGACTTCGCCACAGACAGCCTAGGAACTATGCACTACCTTGACGATGTCTTGGAATAGTATGGCGGAGTTGGAATCTTTGGGGTTGAGTGCATGAAGAGTGTTGTGGGGGGCCCAGATGGGTCCAAGTTGCGCGGTGGCGTCACGACAACCAGGCTAAATGTTTAGGTTTAGATCCGGTGTGCTTGAACAGGAATCAAGCTCCAAGTCGACGCTGGATGAGCTGCTGAAGCAGCTTCAACTGCGCGCGCTCGTCATCAGAGGGTGGTGGTGGGTCTGCGTTGGACATGGCGGTGATGACGGCCGGGGGAGCTTCGGACTGTTTCACGTGGATTAGCGCCGAGGATCAAAACAAGGCCGGTGGGCCACAGGTCGTCTTACAGTGAGACCGAGGATGAGAGCTTGAACTGTGCCCTCACCCAGATTCATCTCCGGCGTCTTATTTGCCAGCTGCGCCAGAGACAGTGCTGCTTGCTGCTGCTGGAAGTTGTGCGCAAGGAAATTTTGCATGGACGCTCTGCGCTGTGATGCAGCTTCTGCGGACTTGCGGGCTTCTGCTTTCTTGACGACACGGCCACTGCAATGTGTTAGTGACTGGTTTGATGAGCTGCTGATGTGACTGTATATACCTCTTGACCTTGCTGACGAAGTCAAGGATGACTCCCTTCTCCGGAACACGGAAGATCTTAGAGTTGACATCCTTGGGATCGTTGTCACCAAACACATAATTACCTTCGCCATCAGTGTCGTCGTCAGGATCATTAGTGATATCGATCAATCCATTGTTGCGAATGCCACGTGAAAAGGTGGGCTCAACGTATTCAGGTTGCTTGCGCACACGCACTCTGCGTGGCACCCGAGTCACCGGCGCGGCATCGGCCATTTCAGAATCCCCATCTTTGGAACTCAGGTCGTTCTGCAACAGTAAACCGCTGCGCAGGTCATGTTCAATATGTCGAGGACACCTCCAGGCATCCCGCTGTGATGCCTCAAGGCTGATGTGTGGCGGGTTAGCGAGAGGCGGGTCGACGCAGTCCAAGTGCCAGTACGCGTGACAAAAGTCACACTTCAGCATTTGGCGCTTGTGGCCGCTCGACACTCCGCACTGCGTGCATAAAATGACTTTGTGGTCAGCATCGATAAGTCTGGTGTATTCAGGCTTCTGGTAGCCATAGCCACTGTTCTTCGCTCTGTTGTGATGTTAGTGCCAAATCACGCGACGGAACGCGTCACACTTACAGTGGAAACTTCTTGACCTCCTCAAAATACGAGCCGTCAGGACGTGCAGAAACGCCCTCGAAGTTATTTTGGATGTCGGAAGGCAGAGCAAACGCGCGAGGATTTGTGCGCTCAAGCTTGTTGAAGAGGGGTCCCAGGCTAGGATACGACTCTGCGGCATCGTCGGATACAGCGAACTTTGTGTTGCACTCATAACAGTAGAACGCTCCATCTGGAACCTCTGTTCGCGGCGGATCGCAGCAGAGAAGGTGAAAGACGCGTGGACAGTTTTCGCAGCACACAAACTCGCCTGCGCCTCTACACGCAGAGCAGAAGTCGTCGCTCTCTGACTGTGGCGAGTTCTGGCATTCTGTTAGAGGTGAAGAAAGGATAGAAAGTGGAGGAGAATATGGAAATTTGAGCGGCGTGATGTTTGTAGTGAGCAACATTGATGTTGGGGATGAAAAAGAGAAATTGTTGTTGATGAGTTGTGTGGTGGAAGAGAAATGGTGTGGTTGGACGCTTCGGGAATCCAGTGGCACTTACCGGGTCATTGTCATCAGGCCCCAACTGTCTCGAACCGCCACCACCAGTAAAGGCTACACCAGCAATAGGTCCTGCGTCTCGGTTTTTGACCGGCCTATACGTGTAACAGTTAGCCTTGTAACGATTTGATGACATGCACGGAATGTACGATGCAAACATGTGCAAACACGTAGAGCTTGGTCAGTCGACGCTTACAGCCCTGTGCTGAACCGGGTACATGCATCGACCAACGCCGAGAAATTGACAAGGATGCTGAGAAAATGAGCTGAGGATACTTACGATCGTTTTGTCCTGGCGCCCTGTCCGTTGGTGAGCTTGACCCGCTTAGGTGCCGGCCCCACTGCTGGCGTTGAAGGACGCGACGACATGGCGGGTTCGAACTGAGGTGAGGAGAAGCGCGACGGATCCTCTCGCAGGCGTTTGGTGCCATGGTTTGGAACTCGTCCGGCGCGTCGTGGTTGATCAGAATCAACAGGTGGTCCCACGGCGATTTGAGAGTCGGTCAGAGACTCAGTCTCAAGAATTTCGTCATCAAAGCGAACATCAGAGACGGGAGGAGGGAATTGCTCGAACTTGCGAATAGGCTGCTGGTCCACCATAGCTTTTCGCATTTCATAGATTCGGTCATCTTCCGCTTGCTGTTCTGCGGTCGGTGGCTGCTGTTTGTAGGCATGCTTTCCAAAGAGCTTCCCGGCATTGCTTTTCATCTTTTTAGCAGCACGCGCAGCCGCAATATTCTTGCCCTTCTTCGGTGGCACGACAGGCGCAGCTGCAGCGGGTTTCCCATTGACCTGCACAGGCTCTGGAGGGCCTTTCTGGACGATCTCTTCGTTGACATCTGACAGCTCAGAATCGCTCCCACCAGTGTCCGGTGTCCTCGCTGCTGGAGTGGGTGCTCCGGTGGATAATCCTCCGTCCACATCCATTGCAGAATCCTGGGCCTGAGTCCCGTTGGTAGCGGTTCGTTTTCTGGGCGACTTGGGCGGCATTCTTGGTGTTGACTCAGTTGAGGTATCTGCAGTCGCTGGAAGAGCGGGTGCGCTGCTGAACGGGTGAAGTGCTTGACCTGAATTTTGATCGAGAGCTGATTGCAATGCTTTGTGTGAAAAGCTTGTAGCCGAATTAGTAGAGTTCAGGAGGTTTCGATCTTGGTAGTCGTTGACGGCGGAGGCAGAGTCATCAGGAACAATCTCACTGCTGGCCCTTGGGGACGGCTGCTGACTGAAGAATGAGGCTCCATGATTCACTGCGGATTGCTGGTCATAGCGCCTGTTCTTGCTCAAGCCCAACCTCATCTTTTCCTCTTGCTTGAATTGCTTGATGAACATGCGAAATCGGACCATCTGCGCATTGGTGCTCTTTCTGTGAATAACTGATTCGATCGCGTCTGCCAAGTCTGAATCGATTTTGCTCTGCTCGTAGGCGCGCCTCAAGGCAATGCCCACGTAGCGCTTGCCCGAGTTGCTGTTGGCTTTGGAAATCGCATCGTTGACAGCAATCTGAATGCGCTGAGTCGCAGCCTCAACTGGCTCCGACATGGAGACGGCTTGTACTGCCGGGCTCGCAGAAACCGAGGCGCTCTTCGTGTGACCGATTTTCATTGTGGGCGTCTTGCCGTTGACGGGTGTCTTGCTCTGCACTGGGGTCTTGCCCCTGACGGGAGTTTTCGACACTTTCACTTTCTTCTTCGGTTTTGTCGCGGGCTCGTAGTCGTCGTCCTCGTCGTCCTCGAGGATGGGAAAAGCGGCCTGCATCTCTTCCTCCTCTTGCCGCTCTGAGTCGTCAGGCTCAAGCTCAGGAGCTGGAGTGACTTCTGGCGTCGACCCAACCTCGTCACCACCGAAACCCAAGCTCTTGCCCAATAGCGAATTTCGTGCAGCCGGTCCGTCGAGAGCGCGCGCGCGCTGCTTGTCCTTGGCCTTTGGAGGTACACCGAGGGGGGCCATATTCTCCAAGACGCCGTGCCGCGCAAACCCGTGCTCTTCGAACGATGGGGCCAGAGTTTGCGGTTGGGGTTCAGTCCACTCGGTAATTGAACGTTGCTTCTTCTCGTTGACGTGCTCGCTCGGGGTGCCGGTGGGTGAGGCGTAGGGTGTGGTGCTGGACCTTTGCTGCGATTTGAAGTCGCGCGACTCCCGGAGAGACTTGCGGAGGGCCGGCATGGCGAAACTACACTTTGGTCAGCGCGCTATTATAATCACGAACACGATTAGACTTACTTCACGTGTTGTCCGAGAATTTACACGCCGCAATGCCGTGCCCGTCGTTGTGGGTCGGTAGTACAGGAATGAGAGTCGCTGAAGGTTGTTCGAGGGTGCCCTGGACGCTTGGACGGACCTTCTTATTATGTCAGCCCCCTACACATGCGCAAACATCGCCATGTCTTACTGTCGTCAGTAATGAAATATATGAATAGCCTGAGGCTTCTTCGATTCTCTGATTGTTTATTCAGTTCTGACAAAGGCGGGGTGCGGTGTTGGTGCAATGATACCAAAGAATCCACAATCTCTTGTCCGCTTTTTCCCTGACGTGCCCAAATTCACCTTCACCAATCGCCACTTGCAGATCTGGTCGTACAATACGTGAACGCGTGCATGAATAGAGATGATGGTATTGACATTGTTCCTGACTTCACTTTGATAAGTCTTTAAAGCACAATCCTGTCTTTGCATGATCTACTCAGGGGTAAATTCTGATCCATGCTTTACTTCACTCTACACCATGCTTGGCTATCCGCGTAGAGCACCATAACTTTCGTGTGTTGTAGCGAACAACATAGTCAGGAACCTCTTGTAGCCTCTCACGATTTGCCGTGTTCAGCGCTTGGGGGGGGGGGGGGGGGGGGGGGGGAGGGGGGGGGGGGGGGGGGGGGGGGGGGGGGGGGGGGAAGGGGGGGGGGGGGGTGGGGGGGGGGGGGGGGGGGGGGGGGGGGGGGGGGGAACAATAGCATAACGGATGGAAAAGATAAATCGAAGACAAGAACAAGGACGCGAAGTCGCCCGACATCCACTCCACCCTTCGCTATGAGTACCTCGAAAACATAAGGCCCCTCCTGAAATGACGTGTATGTATGTCGCGTCCACGTTCGCTTAAACATGAAGGGGGATGAAGCTGTGTTCGACTGCCAAAGACGCCCCAGACCGCCTGGAACGATCTCAGTCCGTGAGCCGTCCGTAACTCCTTGAATGCGCGCGCGTTAGCTACCAGATTCTGCATTCGTCAACATCACGCATAAGAAGCGACAAATGCTGGCCGGTGAATAGGTGTCTGTTTTTTTTTGGGATTGTTATCGCTTCTACTTAATCATGTGCACGAGCACAAGACAAAGTACATCAGACCTAGGTCTTTTGCCGATTTTCTTTCCGATCCTGCCGTTTTTTGCAGTCACCAAAAAGTCCGTGTCATCCAGGCGCATAGTCGAGAGGCGCGTATGGCGTCAAGGTCTTCGCAAGCTGCGTCTACTCCTCGTCGTCACTCTCCTCCTCTTCGGCAGGAGCAGCACCGCCGTCAGCGGCCTTCTTGGCGGGCTTCTTCTTCTTCTTCTTGTTCTTCTTTGTCGAAGTCTTTCCAATGGGCTGTTCGAGAATCTTGAGGATCTCCTCGTCCTCAATCTTCTTGTCAGACTTGTACTTAGAGGTGTCGATGCCAGCGGGTTGAGCCAGGCGCTGCATGCCGTTCTTGGTAATCGCTGTTGAAATGTCAGCTATCGAAACAAGATTCATAATCCTTCGCAATCAAGCAAACGAGAGTGGAAATCTGGAGATCAAGCAACCGACCACATCGGCCAATATCGGGCATCTCCATGCACAGACAGAGCAGGTGAAATCCTCGGACTTACCAACAGTGCTGAACAACCTAGCTACGGGCTGGTTGTCCTTATCAACGACGACTTCGTACTGGCGGAGCACACCTGTGCGGACACACTCGACAACACCAACCTTGGCAGCCTTCTCGTCCTCAAGCTGGCGCAAACTGAAGGGGAAGGTGCCGAACTTCTTGACAACTTCAGACAACAGGCTTCGCGAGGTAGGGCGCTTGAGCTGGTAAGTGGTGGCTGTACGTCGGTGTAGAGTGGTCCTGTTGCTGTTGCTCTTGACCTTGCCGCTTCCGAGACTGACACCCATCTCAACACCCCACACTTCGCCGACCTCAGGGAGACCGTCTCCTCGGACACCCTCGCCGGGCGCAAGAATGATCTTCTTCTTGGACTCGATCTCGTTGTGGTCGAATTGCCAGATGGTGGTGCTCTCGACGAGGTTGCAACCGTACGCCTTGACAACCTTCTCAAGCATGTTGGTCATTTGGCTCTGAGTGTAGGCCTTCTTTGACGCAGCCTTCTTTTGCTCCTCCTCATCGCCATGGGCAACCAAGCCTGGGGGTACCATCAACCTCAGCAGAAGCTCATTCGCGTAGTGTGTAGCCAGAATGAGATCTGCCTCCTTTCCGGTGACCTCGTCGGCAGCTCCGACAATGACATTGTCGCAAACGATGGCGCAGAAGCCATCGATCTGGGCACCCAGCTGGATCTTGACAACCTCTCCCTCCTTCAGTGTCACGGCGGCTTCCTCGGCATCGGTCTTGAGTGGTGTGTACGGGGTGATGTAGGCGCTCGGCGAGATGGTGGTGCAGTGTCCAATGCCCTTAAGGACCTTTTTGCCCTTGTAGACCTTGGCGACCTCCTCGTCTAGGAGCTTGTCACCGCGCTCGCAGAGCTCGACAATGTTGGCATCAGCGGCGATCCATCCTGGACTGATCAGTTTGTGTTCATGTTTACGCGCGGGAAACAAGCGCAAGTGTGGGGAGCGTCGTACCGGAGACCTCCTTGAGGACTTTCTGGGAGATGTCGGCGGCGACCTTGTACTTGGTGATAGTATCCGGGTTCGCCAGAGTGTAGTCTGCAATATGGGTTAGCTTCTGCGACTCATTGACAGCACAAAACTGAGGTCGAAGCTATCTTCGTCTGAATAGCTCTCATGTCGATGGCATTAATAGCGAATAAGGATCGAGCTTACCGACAGCTGCTGTTTCGGCCATCTTGAGTATAGTTGAGTGTGGGAAGATGGTCTAGAAGCTAGAATTGGAGTGGTGCGCGAGGTCGTTCCTGTGTTCAGACCAGCCCCTCAGTGGGGTGCTTTCGAGCTTTCGCTTAGCCAGAGCCCAATGACGATGATCGCCTGACAACATCACACTCGACCTGCTTTACTTCTGTTCTTGAATTAATTGCCTGCATCTAGAAACTGGGCTTGTGGTCAGCCGGATCACTGTTGGCAAGCTCGTATTTGAAACATTGGCATGATTGCAGAGCAAATCCACTGCTGTCATGCTGCAGTGCACTTCTCCATAAGCCACGCTATTGACAGCTTCGACAGCGTGCCAGACATTTAATGGTATCAAGTACATTGTTCCAGGCTAATGAACTTGTATCATCCCCACAAACAACTCCCTCTGTCTCTAAACCTCCAAAACCCCATCCACAACCACCGCACGATGATCACTCGCATAGACCCCATCCTCAAACCGATTTGGCAGCACACTATAACCCTCAACACCCCAATCCCCCTCTCCCCTCGGTCCTACAAACACAAAATCAATCAGCGACTTATCCACATCATCGAAAGCCGTATACGTATTCTCGTCACCATACAGCCACTTAGCCTGCTCCTTCGTATCGTGCAGGAGAGACGACGCGTTATTCAGCATGATGTACGCATCATCCGTAATCTCAGAGTTGAGGTCGCCGGCTAGGAAGAAAGACAGGCCAGTGGACGAGTAGTTTGAAGCCGGGGAAGCGATATCCGCAGCAATGCCTTCGATAATCCTCGCGGATTCGCGGCGCGAGATAGCGCCGGAGTTGTCGAAATGTGTCGACATGGCTACTATTTCCTTCTTGCTTGTCATGTGCTTGAACGTGCCGATGGTCACTATGCGAACGGAGCCTGCGTCCCAGCCTTTCTTCCCAACAGCTCCGTCTTCGTTTAGCCAGACAGTCTTCCAGGTCACGAGTTCCCAGACGGCTGGGCGGTAGATGACAGGGCTGTATTCGCCTTCGGTTTTGCCGTCGTCGCGGCCTACGCCAATGTAGGCCCATTCGTTGCCGAGACCGGCCATTATATCGACGATTTGCTCGTTGAGCACTTCTTGTAGACAGATGAAGGCCTCGGGGTTGTGGAGCGTGTTGTAGTGCAGCTCGTTGAGGATCAGTTGTTTCCGGGTTGACCAGGGCTTCTCGCCTGCGGCTGGTGGATCGGCGGCATAACGGATGTTGTGGGTTAAGATTCGGATTGGGAGAGTAGCAGCTTGTGCTTTCATGATGAAGGCGAGCAGGGTGGTGACGAGCAGCGCTGCGTTGAGCATCATGACGACAGGCTAGGTACTTAGGTACCTATTACCGGAACCGAACACGTGACGGAGTGAAGCGGGGACAATGTTCTCTCTAGCAACGACTGCGAAGAAGGCTTGTGATAAGCAGACGAACAAAGGCCTTCACCACAGTATTGAGGGTATGGCACTTGCACGGCCTTGATATGAACAACTGTAATTGACGCCTACCTACATCGCTGCGTCGAAGACTACCAACCCTACTTATACCTTACAAACGACACCAGCAACTAAGAGAAGAAGGAAGGTACTCAAAATAGTGCCGCATAATGACGAAGGCTTCAAACTATGCCAACCCCCCGTGCTATAATCCAAGAGGGGCCCCAAATTTCCGAGTTGTAGCCGACAAATGAGAACGCCGATAGACAAGCACGTTGTCCGCATGCGCAACTCCACGTGATCCGCTGTTCTTACACGGGCTTCTATACCCTGGATGCGCTTGCCAATATGAAAAAAGACCCCGCTATGCTTATCTGAATATCATTTCCTGTTTGCGCAGACAGGCAATCTGAATGCCGAGCCTACAATGGCTGACCAGTCCGTTTGCGCACGTTCTCCATGTGTACGCGGTTCTTCAGATGTAATTCAAAATTATTGACCGTCTGTTCGGGCCCAGCATTGTACAGCTTTCCTGGGCAGTCTATGCATCGGATTCGCGGGAGGAAATACGCTTTGTGGTTCGCTGGCAGGGGAGCGGTTGGAGATAGTGTATCTAGCTTGACTTGTCTGGACACCATCTCGCCAGTCTTCGGGTCCTCATGGCGCTCGTTCATGACTGCGTAGCGCATGGTAGATTCGAAGAGCTCGCCAGGGTTCTTATCGCGTAGGTCTTGGAGTGCTTTTTGGAGCCATGGGGGAGTGGGAGGCTAATATGGGTCAGAGATGACTACATAGACGCAAGAAGGGATCTTACATGTTGTGAAGCGGCGGGCGTTGGCCAAGGTGCCTCCAATGAGCCATCCGGCCTGTAATTCCATTGCTTGTTCGGTGGCGTTGGTGTAGGTGTGGAAGGCGGCTTCGGTGAAGCTTCAACAGATGTCGGTACTGTCGGTGTAGAGCGGGATGGCATGGCGGGTGACGGTGGAGGAGGCATCGAGTTTGCGGTAGGCGTACTCCGCGTCGGTGGTTGCGAGAGTGTCATCATGGGAGTCCCAGCGGGCTTTACGAAAGCTCTTGGGTTTCTTACCCACTCCCTGAACTTTGCGGGCGTTATGCGGAGTTTGACTATTAATGATGTGGGTTCGGACACGCTCTCTTCCCGCGCTTCATACCGTAGAGATCTTGACGCCCTTGGCTCGTGATGGGGTGTTTGGATATTAGAGACTTCGGGAGTTGCTGATCTTCCAATGGCAGATCGCATGGCGGCTTGAGCAGCAGTAGCAGCTCCGCGCATACCACGGGTACGAGCAGTGCCTCCAGTCATCAATTGAGCAGGTGCGGGAGACTCCATGACTGAATCATCACTATCTGAGTCGTCTGAGCTGCCCTCAGCACCGCGGCGACGGCCTTCTCTGACCTTGCGCGTGGCCTTGAAGAGTTGGCTGTCCTCAATGGTTTCCGCAGCGCCAGGCAGCACTGACGAAACAACCAATGTGCGAACAGTCCGTTGGCGGTCTTTGAGGTCTGGCAGGGCAGGGCCACCGCGTCTGTTGACGGAACGCTTCTGGCGTCGCTGTTCGCGCATGATGGAAAGTTCGGCTCGCTCCAAATCCGCATTGCTGAGTTCGTAAAGGTAGGGTTGGTAGTCCTTCGTAGACTGCATCGGGCGGAATACGGAGGGGAGTGGAGAGGCCAGGAAGTTGTCTTGTATGTCTGTATCTTCGACCGGTCGCCCATCAAAGGGATGTCCTGTAATGTACAAACTCTTTGTAAACATCTGGCACTGCTCTCTTATGGAATGGGCGATTGCGGTTGTGAACTCTCCGGATAGGGACAAGTCAGCGGCCATCTGTCTCGCAAATTCCTCAGGCGCATTCAGAGGGTTGTTAATCTCCCACTCAAACTGATCTACAAGGGTGTGCTGGCCAATGGTAATGTTCAGCTTGATCAAGATTCGCATCTCGTCATTCTTGTATGCCGAGTAAGGCTGATGTGGATCTAATGGCTCGTCGTCGAAGAAGGCGTGGGGGTAGTAGTCTTGTACCTGCTCGTGAATCTCGCGATCGATTTGCTGCATTACGTTCTGGCGTAGTTCGGGCGGTATTTGGAAGTCTTCGACGAGGGTTTGAGCGAAGAGCACGGGGTTGGTGACGCGGTCATGGAGGTTCCAGGTGAAAGTGTCGCGAAGCTTCAGTCTATCCAATTCGATGTCCAAACGCACGGGTACGAGCTCCTCAATCTGGTCTGCTTGCTGGAGCCCCTTCTCTTTTGAAACCTTGAGCTGCGGTGCGAGTCGACGGCCAGCGCGCTTGGCATTCTCAGGGTAAAGCAGCTTGGTTTGCGGTAGGGCGCGCGGGTCTCTGGGGTCGGGAGGTATCTCGGTCAGGCCGTTGCCGTAGCCAGCGTAGCCATATCCAAATATGGCGCCGGGGTTCTGTCGTCGGACCGGATACACTTCGTCGCGGTAGAAATGGCGCAGGTCGTTGAGTTCGCCATAAACTTTTTCGGAATGTTTGTTGCGCTCGTACTTGTTTACACTATCCAAGAGGTCGCGCTCAATGTAGCGGTTGAGGAGGTGGGTCTGCGAGGCTGTCGGTTTCGCGCCGTTGTCGTGGGAAGGCGTGTGTGATGACTTGCGGGTGCCCGAACGCGATCGCTTTCTGCTGGGCGACGCGCCGTTGATGGCTTCGGGTTGCGCGGGCGATGCCATGTCGCCTTGCGCGCCTGCGAGGTTCAGACCAGAGGCGGCCATGACGGCCTTGGCTTTCTGCTTGCCGTCTCGAATCGCGTTGTTTTCGTTGGACGCGCCGTCGGGTCCATTGATGCTGGTCGGGGCGTTGGCGGGCTGGACAGCACCTTCACTGCTGATGCCGTTTGTGGACGCGCCGTGGGCAGGGTCGAGGGCGTGAGAGTCGGTTAGCGGCGGGGAGGGCATCGCGTAGGAACTGTTGATGCGCGCAGCAGGAGCGACCTGCGTGTTGCTGCCCTTGTTAGAGCCGAGGCATGGAGGCTGGAAGGAGTGATGGAGGCTCGAGTGGGTCGGTCAATGGGCGTCCCAAGCGGTCGCGCCTGCCAGAAGAAGGGGGCGGACGTGCGATGCGATGGCGACAGCAACACCCGCGCCGCCATCTCCAGAAAGCGCATGCATCGCGCCGCTATCACGAGAATAAATAGCAGCAATAGAAAAAACACATACCTTTGGGAGCATGCAATTTGCGCGTCGTCACAGGTCACAGGGCTGGGCTGGGCCTCTGTTTGGCTGTCCAGGGAAAGAAGTGCCGATCGGGTAGTCAAGCGCGCAGCAGCCCGTCTGTAAGCCTTTCACAGGCGAGAGTATTGGCAGGAAACCTAAATCGGCGAAACACCTGCTGCGGTACCTTGGGCGGGGTCGCGGCCGTGGATAAGCTCGGAATGATGTGTTGTGTGTCAGGCAGAGGCATTGATGGATTTGCGCCTCGCTCCCACTTCCCGCCGCTTGCGAGCGCCGAGCCAGCCAGCCCATAACCACGCTGAAGCTCGTCGGCACGCTCCCACGCACCCACAGCCTCTGCCCGGCGTGGTTCTATTCACTAAAGCAGAGGCCATGCTCTACCGACTGTTCCACATAATTACACCTGCACTCCATCGTCTCCACGCAGCCCATCACGTGTGACGCCATGACGAATGCTAGCGCCTACCTAGACCGGTAAGCTCAGAGGAAAAGCCACTCGTGTAATGCAGTGGACCTTGTTCGTTATCGAATAAAGGTTGTATTTTATGGAAAGACCCGCCTAGTAGAAGAAGATAAGAAGCGTCTGGTAGTACACCTCGTCACCGCACTCTGACGCCCTCGCCTCCAGATCCATCCTAGTTGCATCAATGCTAGAAACTGACAATACCTAAACATTTCCATCCAGTCCCGGCCCGGACACGCCGCCGCTTACAAGTTCGCCGCCTATATGCGTCTGCTTTGCTTGCGATAGATACTCAAACGTTCAGGTTCGCTGCTGAGACGTGCACTCCCCCGTTGCTCAGTAATATCGCTGCTCTCGTTGCATTCCCTCCGCTCAAAGCAGTGAGTCAAGTCGAGTGAATACACTCAAGCACGCTGCGACAACCTATAGTAACATGGTCAGCGCTCTGTCATATTAAGGGAAAAGCAAAACAGCGATTGACTTACCTCAAGCTGGAGCTCCTTATCCTTGGAACCATTAACTTCGTCCGTGATGAGCTGACCCAAGTTTGCGCCCACACCCTGCGAGCCGCCTTGCCTCTTTGCAAACGGCCACTGCGAATACTCTGCCAGCAGCTCGTCTACTTGAGCAAAAGCCCGTTCCCGCGCTTCGTGACCCAACGTTGTCAAGGCGTTCTCTAGGACGTTGGCGGCATAGGCGGCGCAGACCATGGTGATTGTTCGGAGCACTCTGAACTCCAACTCCTCGGGGAGGAATTGGCTGCCAGGGAGGACGACGGTGCGGTTGGTGAGGACGTTCCGGACTCTGCGTCGAATCTCCTCCTTTGCGCCGCCGTCTGCGACGGGATGTGTAGCCATGTCGAACAGGAGGAAGTTCTTCTTCTCGGTGCGCAGGATGCCCTTGTCGACGAGGCCTTTGCATAGTCGTTCGCGTACTTGTTTTAGTTGGTAGCCAATCTTCATGAGGTTCCACGTCTCTCCTGTGTGTATAATTAGTGCCGAGCACCAGCCTTGGGATTGTGCGCCGCAAACGTACCGCTCATGAGGTCGATCCATGAGTTGACGCTCATCTTCTCACTCGACTTCATCATCTTGAGGGCCTCGTCCAGCAGAACCTCACCGGTCAATGTGTCGTCAATAACCTCGATGACCCTGTCTGCGAGGGGGAACCGTCGCCGATTCGAGTCCTTTTGCATGCTCACGCGGCCTCGGAAGGCTAATTCTATGACAATGCAGCCTCGCAATGCATAGGAGATGTTGTCGTTCCAGAACGACAGGTATCCCTATTCTCACTCATCAGCCTGCTGCCCCTAGCCCACCAGCACGCTGCCGTGTACACACCTGTTTGTCCTTCAGCCCCATGAGGATGATTTCCTCCATGAGTGTCAGCTTGGGCTGTTTGCTCCTCTCTGCATTTTCGCTGATATCCCGGGGGTCGAATGCGATCTTGTGGCCATTCTCGGAGCTTTCGTAGGAGGTTTCGGGGGTGCGGTCGTCGGTGCGCTTGGGTGCTGGCGAGCTGACCCGGCTGCTCTCGTCCTCGCCGTTGCCTGCAGCGCCGCCGCCTCCTCTCCGGCGCGTCAGACCAGAGCTAGAAGCCATCAGGTGTGGTTGTGGAACGGGAGGGGGGTCTTGTTGAAATTATGCGTGATGCTCCTCAACGGGCGCAGGGATGAGGGCGCTTGGGCTGCGCATGCGCGGTGTCGGACTATGTGGGACTTTCGGTGAAAGCGATGTGGGAGAGGGTAGCGGGCACGGCGACGTAAAGAATAAGGGGTATGGTAAGGCGCCTGTGTGAGTAACGCGTTGGGGGTTGATTCTCGTGCCACATCAATCAGCGGACAGGGTGTCGGTCTCGGATGTGCCAAGATTAGTTACGCACGCTTCGGAGATCAAGTAAACAGGCGTCCAACAACACAATAGCCAAAGCACTGGGAGGTGGATAGCGTCAATTCTATCAGAAGTACACGGTGCCGACCCAGGCGACTGTTTTACACGGAGGCATATATATAGCGATGCCGGTAGGACCGACTACCAATTCCACATCCATCATCTTCAACCCAGCGCGGCTCTCCAATGTCATTTAGTGAGCTACGATAAGTTAGTTTGGGACGACTTCGGGATTTTCAAGTTGCGACTCACCATCGGGCTGAGCCATGATGTAGTCCACTGCTTGCTTGACTGTGATATCATCAGTATGTATATCTCCGACCCTGCATTTGAACGTACCGCTGTGGATGGCATCGGCCTCCTTGTCGGGGATCTCAATGCTGAATTCCTGCCGCAATGTCAGATTTGCCTTCTGTGTATCGCATGCGCACCAACTAACCTCCTCAATTGCCATGACCACCTCTACGGTATCCAGACTGTCGAGACCGAGGTCGTTGTGGAAGTGCGATTCGGCGTTCAGCTGAAAAATATAAGCATTTGTCTCCAATCCTTCACACGCGGTTGGTAGCTACCTTGGAGGCATCGGTGACCTGTTTCTGCGTTAGCCACTTTCTCAAAATCCAGTCGCATAAGCATTACCTTGTCGAAGTTCTTCAGGAGGTCCATTATCCTGCCGGTGACCTCATCTTTTGACAGACCGGCGCTCGCGGCGTAGCATCGTACGGCCTGGAAGTATACGGAGGGGTTCATTTGCTTTGGCTGGACGAAAGAGCTTCGCGCAACGGGGCGAGCCATTGCGGCCTGGCATCGCGGGGCAGCGCGGACGGCGGACCGGGCGGACCTGAGGAGTGCTGTTCGGAACATGGTGGACGGTTTGGGAGGGTGTCGTGCGAGGGTAGCAAGGTCGGTGGTGGTGGTGATGTTGATGCTCGACTAGAACTTCAGACTAAAGTTACATTACGTTAGTCAGCCGTCAAGAAGCATTTCCGTACGAGTGAACAAGCGCACCTTGGATTATCACAACAGCTAATGCGGTTATCCGAAAAAGACTTGAGAATCGTTCATATACCCAACTCCATCGCCCGAGACAAATTTCTGACCTCGGAGTTGCCTCCCACTGTTGTTGCCGTCATTGGACTTGTCGGCCAATCGCAGCCTCCGCGTTACAAGCGACGACCTCAAGTTTCGAGCTTGACGACAACCTCCATATCCGCCAGCAACCCCCCAACCCGCCAGCGACTCCACCACGCTCACAATGGCCAGCGCAAAGCCATTGGCAATGTTGGCACGCAGCCGCCCAGCTGCCACGCTCCTCCGGTCACCACAGTTCGCGTCTGGACGCCTCCCCTCGCCCGCCACCGTCGCCTTCTTCTCTACCACTCTATCCCGAGCCGCCACCCCAGCGGGACCCCCACCGCCAGGCTTCCGGTTACCCAAGCCCAAGCGATGGGATGAAGGAGAAGGTGCATTGGACCGCGCCGGCAAGTACTTCTTGCTTATGGAGATGTTCCGCGGCATGTATGTGTCGCTGGAGCAGTTTTTCCGCCCACCGTGAGTACTCCAACCAGCAGACTGCTCGTCTGCCACCTGGTCGCAATATAGCAATCTGACGTTTCTGAAGATACACTATCTTCTACCCATTCGAGAAGGGCCCCATCTCACCCCGCTTCCGAGGCGAGCACGCCCTGCGAAGGTACCCTACCGGTGAGGAGCGTTGCATTGCTTGCAAGCTCTGCGAGGCCATCTGCCCTGCGCAGGCCATCACAATCGAGGCTGAGGAGCGCATGGACGGTAGCAGGAGGACCACACGTTATGATATCGACATGACCAAGTGCATCTACTGCGGTCTCTGCCAGGAGAGCTGCCCAGTCGATGCCATTGTTGAGGGTATGTCGACACGTTCCCTGAGTACACTGATCAGGTGCTAACACGATACAGGACCCAATGCTGAGTACGCGACCGAGACCCGAGAGGAGCTACTTTACAACAAGGAGAAGTTGCTAGCAAACGGAGACAAGTGGGAGCCTGAGATTGCCGCAGCTGCTCGTGCGGATGCGCCTTACAGATAATGGACGGGAGCGATTTGGAATTACTGTACATATAAGGAGCGGTTCCTTCTGACATGACCAGTCAGATTTCTTTTGTCAATGCATCAGTAAACAATACCAAGCTCACCGAGTCCATGTCGAAGAAGACCCATACATACACAGAGGCGACGAGTGCACATCAATTCCGAGGCCCAACTAGATGCATTACTATTGATTTGCAAGACAGCATTGGCATTGAACGAACATTCTCGAGACAAGACAACCTAATATTCAAGATCATAATACTCCTAACGCTCATACGATGCCTGCCATGATATGGTATCAAACGCCAAATGCCTGCCTATAGTATGCATGCCGCCACCCTTTCCTTTTATATACCTTGATTCCGCCCAGCCTCATGATCATCTCGCCTTGAATGTACCCTCAAAGCCCGGTCGCTTGACCTTCTTGCCAGGCTTCTTGACCTTCTTTTTACCCTTTTGGCCCTTGTCCTCCTTGCGCTTCTTAAGATTCTCCTCCCTCTTCTTCTGTCTCGCGGCCTTTCCTTGGTCGACGTTAGTGAGCCTCTCCTTCCACTCTTGCTTGCTCTTGTCCTTTTGTTTTTGTTGACGCTTTAGGCTCTTCTTCAGAAGGTTGACGTCATCAAACACCTTCTCGCCCTGTGCCCTCTTCTTGGCAGCAAGCCATAGATCCTTCTCTTGAATATCCTTGCGCTTGTCCTCATCGAAGGCATTGATGCGAGCCTGTTTCTTCTGCGCAGCCTCTAGTGCGGTCTTCGCATCTGACTTGCCCTTCTTCTTCTTGGAATCGAGGAATCCAGAGAGATTGCTTTCAAGCTGTTGGCCGTCCCATGCGATCTTGCCAAAGTTAAAGTTGCGCTCGGTCTCCGGCGACCTCGCCGGGAATACAGAGGGTGAGCCCGAACCGCCTCTTATCCGTGCGAGCTGCTCCTCTGCTTGCTGTCGTGCCTCATCCTCTTTCGCATCCTGACGCATGGCCTTCTTCGCGGCCTTCTTTTCGGCTTCCTTCTTCCTGCGCGCCTCGATCAGCTCTGCTCGGTTGCGTGCGGGGCGTCCATCTGGGCCGTCAGCCTTTCGCGCCGCGCGCATTGCCTCTAGTTTCGCGTTCAACCGAGCGCGGAAATCCTCATGTTTTTGCGGATCGATCGTGTATGGTTTCTTAGCCTTCTTCTGTGGCGCTTCTTCACCAGACTGGGGTAGTGAAGAATTTGACGAAGCGGCGGAGGCGACGGAGGCTGTGGAGGAGTTGGAATTGGCAGTAGTGGAGGGAGCAGTAGACTGACCCTCTTCGACGAGACCGGAGACGTCCAAAGCCTCTATGCGTTCGTCTGGATGTTCGAGTTCGTCTGCAGAATCGTCGTCTTCTTCGTCTTCGTCTTCGTCTTCGTCCTCGTCCTTTTCAGGCTTTTCGGCGGCGAGACCTTGGAACTGCGTTGGTAGCGCTTTCTTCGCTTCCATCTTTTGCTTGTTCTTGGCCTGCTTCTCCTTCCTCTTTTCTCTTCGCTTCTCTGCTTTCGCCGCGTGCTTGGCCTCCGCCTTGGACAGAGTGACTTCTTCGGTCTCCTCGACTTCGGGCTCAACAGGCTGTGTCTTTTGCTTCTTTGCCTTGCTCTTGATGCCCTCAAGAGGCTTCTCCTTTGTGATGTCCATGTCAAGGTCGGACGACTCGGGCTCAGAAACCTCCTCACCCTCCAGTTCACGCTTCCGTTTTAGCGCGTTCTCATCCATGACGTCTTTGGCGCTCTTGTGGGAGGCAGGATCCAGCTTCGCTCGCTTGGCTGCTTGTCTTTCTTCGAGAGTCTGCTTCTTGCCTTTCTTTTGCCATTGCGTCTGCAGACATCATGTCAGCACAAGCCGGATGTCTGGAGGTGAAGAGATGCATACGCTGGTGATACTCTCATCCTTGCCGTAGTAGTCTTTGGCGGGTATCAGAGACATGAGTCCCTCGAAGGCACGAGCATGGCTCTTTAGACGCTCCTGCAGCTCTCAGTTAGCGGCGAGAGCGAGCGACAGGAGGCGGGCCCGGTGCATACCTCGAGATTGTCGCCCATTGCGTAAACAATAGACGCAAGGATACTTTTCGTAATACGATATGTCCTGGTTCAGACAGGTACAGGGCGTAGAGTCGGCGGGGCGAGCGTGTCGTGTGCGGGTCGCGAAAATCGAGGTCAAAACGAAAGCCAAGATTTCGAGCAGACTTTCAGCGCTAGGACCCTTCCAAGATCAGACCCACCCACCAATAGACCCTCGCCGCCCCAGCCACCGCCCGGTTTGGCTTAACGTGAAGTAGACTCGCGTGCTCAAGGCTCCTTCACCAGCCTCAGCCTCGCTGCCGGCAAGGCGCCGCGAGTCCATGGATGATGCGCGTCTGTCAGATCCGCTTGCCTCTCGCGCTTCACAACGATAGGTCAAGACAACTCATTTGTTGTACATGATAGTCGGTGGAGACGCGTACGCACAGCCACCCGAGCCCAAGCACAACCTCGCCGTGGTCGCCTTGTATATATCCTAAGCAACGCCCTGCTGTCAATCACCTGACAACTCCATATACTCAGCGCTGTCCCGCATATCAAAACTGCCAATACCTTCGCTTTAATGGCTACGCCAATCATCGAAGCCAGGTCTCTTTCATCGCTTACCGCTCTTGCATCCAATCCACCAGCTTACCCAAGGAATCCTACTCATGAGAGCCATGACCCGCTAGTACTGTACATCGCCCGTGTTCCCGGCAGCAGAGGTACGGCTGTCAACGTGTATTCTCCTACAGTGGGCCTAACATTGTTCAGATGTCTTCTTATCTCCGATGAAGCCGCGGGAAAAGGTAGTGACCGCAGAAGACATACAAAGCTCACTCTATTTCGTCCACGTTGAGCAACCAGAAGATGCTTACCTTGTCAACCCTCCCGAATTCCAGGATCCAGATTATGCGCAAGAGGGCCAAGCTTCTTCCAATCCCGTCTCTGCGCCTATTGTTCCAAGGAAAGCAGTACCCGGCACGAACACTGCTCCCGTACGGAAGCCAGTGCCTAGTACTCTGGCGACTATCAATAACTACTCCAACAACCAGAACATCGATGCAGGCAACTATGCGCGGAGATCTACAATGCTCGCCCCAGAGTATAGCCACAGCCCACGACGCTCGTTCGACGCAAGCCAGTACCAACAGGAAAATCGAAGACCGACAGCTTCACCACGCAGACAATCAGAGAACCCGTCACGCTCTAGCGCGTCGCTCACCCTTATCCGGCGAGATCCCGCATCTGGCGCGCAATGGAATGTTGCTCGCATTGAGGACCCACCTATCCTAGATATCTCGTCGGCATCGAATGATCCCAGCATCAAGAAGAAGTTGGGAGCCCCGATGTATATCGAAGTTTTCAACCCTGGCTACTCCAAATTTCTACATTCCGACACCACCAACAAGCCTCCTTTAACAACACGAGATAGTGGAATGTCTATCCAATCACGTAGCGCAGGGTCAGAACAGCAGACGGGGGCTCATCTGTCTACAAACGAGAACGTGTTCCGTCGACGCATATGGATGGAAGGATCGCAGCACATCGGCGGCTTTGGACATCGGAAGCTTAATTCGTATGACTACGATACCGGACGCCCTGACTCAAGAGAGAATTATCGCGCGCAGACCAACTCTACATCAACAGACATGCGACCACCTCCAACTCCCCCGTTTGTGACTAGGCAAGACCAGACATATGGTAGCATTCAAGTCTCTGATAGGCAAACCACTTTCCGTGGCTATGTGTTCACAAGCCCGTGGAACGGACGATGCGAATTCACCACGGGAATAGGTGGAGGATCTTTGAAGGTAATGCCATTCCCATCGCAGCAGTGATTAATT